CTTGAAGCTCATGGAGAGAATGCCAAGAGTGTGCAAAGCAGTAATCAGAGCAAAGGGTGGCTATTTTGAAGAAACTAGAATATAAAACATGTTTTCAGTTATTTCACCTTTTTTTGTTAAGTACATAAGTCCACATGTGTTCATTCATAGTTTTGATGCCTTCAGTGAGAATCTACAATGTAAATAGTCATGAAAATAAAGAAAACGCATTGAATGAGAAGGTGTGTCCAAACTTTTGGCCTGTACTGTATAAATCAACTAAATATTTAGCCATGACACTGAAAATCTTTTAGATAACACTAGAGCCCCGGTTCCACCAAACACTTTCGGTACAGTACCTTTGGAACCAAAAGTAACCCTTTAGACATGGTATCAAGAGTCTGCACCTGGTTTATAGCCCACAGGAACAACGCCCCACAATTCTTTTTTTTTTTTCTCAGAGTGAGGATTAGAATATATGATGTTAACATAATCCTGTCAAAATTTATATATATTTTTAAACGTGTGAAGATCCGCTCATTACTAAAAGTGTATAGGCCCGTTTCCACCACAGGAACTTCAGGGTAATTTTACGGGGCTGGGGCCGTTGGTGCGTGTCTCCACCGCAGGAACCACCCCCGAAGGACAGAGTTCCGGAACTTTTACAGGGGCTAAACAAGTCCCTGCCTCGGAGTAGGTACTCATAACGGCCCTGAAAAACTCCTGGGTGGGGCTTGGGTTTACTTGGTGCTGATTGGATATACTCAAGGCGGGATGTGATGGCAACAGAAAGCAACAAAATAGCCGACATCGCCCCTGTCAAAATGGTCACGCAACGATTACTTCACATCCAGAGCCCGGTAACTTTACAGGAACTTTCCTCCTACTCTGCCCTCTCAGTGGAGACACGGCGGTTGAGAGGGCCGAGCGAGAGGACGTTCCTGTAAAGTTCCTGCCCCCCAAATTGTACCAGGAACTTCTTAAGTGAAAACGGGCCTTATGTCACCCAAGAGAGACTATAAAAATTAAATAGTCAATGTTGTTAAAGTGAAATTTAAGGCGTGCTGATGGATTCACGTCATCAACTCATGCATTAAGTAACATTACAAGTAAACGTCCCACCTTAAAAGTTGACGGCAGTCGACCCAGTGAATTATTTTTCTCGAACTCCAGCTGCTGTGAGAGGCAGCAAAACATCCTTTCATTTTATAGTTACAGTTTAGTAATAAAACTCTCCACTGTATGAACAGTGGTTACATGATCCTCAAAACCAGCCACAACTCAGCCCTGAGCAGAGTGACCGTCTTCTACTGACCAATCAACAGACTGCAGTGTTCACAGCTCCACCTTTTAGTACCAGATCTGTGTGCTAGGTACCCCAACAGAGGGGGGACCAAAAATGGGGACAGTACGGAACGGTTCCATTGGTACCATCCACAACTTTTNAGTGAATTATTTTTCTCGAACTCCAGCTGCTGTGAGAGGCAGCAAAACATCCTTTCATTTTATAGTTACAGTTTAGTAATAAAACTCTCCACAGTATGAACAGTGGTTACATGAACCTCAAAACCAGCCACAACTCAGCCCTGAGCAGAGTGACCGTCTTCTACTGACCAATCAACAGACTGCAGTGTTCACAGCTCCACCTTTTAGTACCAGATCTGTGTGCTAGGTACCCCAACAGAGGGGGGACCAAAAATGGGGACAGTACGGAACGGTTCCATTGGTACCATCCACAACTTTTCACAGTGGAAACGGGAAAAATGCATACTGAACTGAACCGTACCATATTGCTCAGTGGAAACTGGGCTTCACTTCTCGAGTCACCTCTCGTGAGATTTCAGAACAAGACTTCTTGCTGAGCGAGACTTGGTCACAATAACAAACAGACCACTGATAAGTACAGAAAAAATGTTCATTTGGCTGTCAGTGTGTCACTTAGACACAAAAATAGGGTCCAGGATGAAACACAGCAAAGTTACCATTTACATGTACATTATTCATGGAAGACTCAAAGGGAGGAGACAGATAAAAGCTTTAACTCTATTCCAGGCTGTGAGATTCAGAAAAGTTTTCCACTTAGTTTCTTGTTAAAACTGAAGAGTTTATTCTAAATCTCCTCATCCCACCAGATCCCTGAGAGATCCACTTAATAGTGCTCATGGATCCCTCTCTCTCTCTCGTCAGAGCTCATCATGACGAGGGTGGGAGAGTTTTCTAATTGGGAACAGTGAATTATTTTATTTGAAGTCTGAGCGAAGCCAGACCATTAAGCTGCAGAATGACCAAGTTTTAAAACTCTCACATTTAATTTGATGACTGCATAATTTTGTATTAAGGAACTCAACAGAGGTTGCCACACCATTGATGATATTTGAAACAGAGTGCTCCTTATTACCCGGAATTAGCGGACTGTACCGGAGAGTAATATTTTAAACAGTTTCTGGAAGGAAGGGCACGCCTGAGCCGCTGTTATTGATTCAACTAAATGAGCTGATTATGTCAGTGATTCCTGAGTCCACTGTGCTTTATTGGAGGAGGAGGCAGAATGAACTCAGCTCATTAATCAGTGACAGAGGCGCAAAAGATTTGATTAGTGGCTGAAATTATGGTAAAAGAGGCATTTGGGCCAAAAGCAAAGCTGATTTACTGTGTGTGCTTCAAACTAATGTTTTGTACAAATTCATTTGAGATTAAGTTTACTGACAGGCTGCATGAAGAGCAAATGTACAAACACAGTTACAGAGTGTCCTTCCTTCTTTTGTTTTAGCTCAAATGGTGTCATTATGCACCTCAAAAAGAAACAAGTACTTGAATATAGTAGTTACATTGCAGGTTATGTACTGTTCTCCTTAACACCTGCTGTAGATGCTTAAGGTTGGGCTAATTTAAATTTTCAGCAACTCACGATATTAAATGAAATTATCATATGTTTGTAGTGTTGCTTTCCTGTGAGAGCTACGTGTCTCTAAAAGCTTTTCATGGTGTCAAAAAACAGATATGTTTTCAGCTTTGTGTCGATACAATCTCCATCTGAGGCCTGTACTGCGACCCAGGATATCTTTTGGTTACTTTGGCTTAACTAACCCAAACACTGGCCATCTGGATACTCTGTACTACAAAGCTGGTTATCAACTAGTTCAGTCAACTC